ATAAAATTGACTGAGAGATGATTTTGATATTTTTGACCACCCCCTTTTAAGAATGCTGGATCCGCACGTGTAATTCTAGAAACGACTGTATTCGCGCAAAGCAGCCATCATGACCTTCCATAAGTTTTGATTAACGATGTTATCTGAAATATTGATTGTAACTTGTCATGGTAACCAAATCCTACTTGGGAAGATGTCAAATCAATACACCACAGATCACGTATGACAGGTAGATCAAGATCTCGTGTTGGACATGGAGTCTCAAATGTGTTTTGATCCTTCTGGTCTGCAGTAAATTTACATGTCGATATATTGCTCACAGTAAGCCGAAGGTTTTTAAATGAGGGCCTGAAGAATTTGGTCTGGGCCTGCAGGTCCTAAAGTATGTGGATCCTGATGACACCCTTTCATTGTTTATATTTCACACACTGTAAGATAGACGTCCTGAATCGGAATTGTGTACAAAGAGGTCGTATTCAGATACATTGTATCACACATTAAAGGGAATGTAAACGATCAATATTATGAAAACCGCGCGATTCTGCAGCGCCCCTTTGGTTTATAACGTGAGTTCTTCTCTGCATTGAATATCAACTGTACAAAATCTATGCCGGTGTTTCCAAAACAGGCACAGCAAAGTTAAGTATCGCCAGTCACGAGTGAGTTGTCTCCCTTCATGAATCATTCGGCAACAATGGAGCCCGAGCTCTACCATCCGCTCAATTACCGCGCTATAGTGCGACCGCTGTCTCGCTATAACGTTACCGTACCTCACGCTCCAGTGACTCTCGCTTCACGATCCAACACTCCTTTTCGGTCTTAGGAAAACTTACACGTCTTTACGACCTAACACCCCCTTTCGGTTTAGGGAAACTTACACGTCTTTACGATCCAACAACCCTTTTCGGTCTTAGGGTAACTTGCTTAGGGCATGGATCTGAAAAAGTGCGCCAGGTAAAGTGCACTACTCAGCAATATTCCAGCTATATGACGGCGGTTTGTAAATAATCGAGTCTGGACCTGACAATCCAGTGATTGATATCATGAACATCGATCCACGCAATTGGGATCGATGACATGTATCAACCAAGTCAGCCAGCCTGACCACCCGATCCCGTTAGTCGAGGCATGGATTTGACTTATATGCCAGTGGTCACAGCGTTGCGAGGGGTGATTCGTATGTTTTACGCCTCGCATGAAAGACTTGACCTGAAATCATTAACTGTTCAACACAACCCCGGGTTGATTCGTATGTTGTGAGCCTCGCGTTGGAGAGATTTTTCCCAGTTTCGTAGAAGGTCTTCTCTTGGCTGTCCAAATAGGTCTCCACAGCTGCTATGACGTCATCGTTCGAGTCGAAATGGGTTCCGGTTAAAGCTTTTTTCATGTTTGGGAACAGATGGAAGTCTGACGGAAGCAGATCGGGAGAGTACGGTCGGTTCTGAAGGTGTTCAAAGCTACACTTGTGTATTATAGCCATGGCAATGACTGATTTGTGGATTGGCGGATTGTCCTGATGGAAGATCACACCTTTTGTAGCTTCTCAAATCTCGTAGTCGTCATTTCATCCCGTAAATGCCTCAAACGTGCAGCATAATATGCTTCGTATAATTGTCTAGGAGTTTGGAAGATAGTCCACCATGACGACACCTTCGACATCCTAGAATACGAAGGTCACAACCTTTCAAGCTGACTGAACAGTCCTTGCCTTTTGGTGGTGGGAATATAAAATGGCTCCACTGTTTTGATTGTTGTTTGGCCTTGACGTTTCTGTATCGGCTTCAAACAGAGCTGGATTATCACGATCCATGTTGTGAGAAGCTTTGGAACCCAAACGAGCTGATACTTTTTTAATTGTCAAAGTTTCTGCGATAATGGATTGTACCCTTTCTTTGGAAACACCCACTGAATTATATAAAATGGGATCTCCATACACGACTGGAACGAATTATTCAATGTACAAATTACATCAGTATTTGTCACCCGTTCGAAATTGGCTGGATCAGGTAAATGCTGGAAAACATATTAATATCATACTCAAGTGGACCTGTTCGTTGAAAATGAGATAATCACACATTTTAGCAAGTGCTGACACAGTATCAAACTTCCTCCTCTATTTCAAATGCAGCTGTATGTAGATATTCGAGATCGCAATCAAAACAAACTACACATTTCTCATTTGTAACCTCCCTATAACATTTACCGATCATCAAAAGAAGTAAGCAATACATCAGAGATATCTGTAATTCATTTAGGAACACGTTTGTGTAGTTTTAAAAAGTTGGAAATTCGTACTATATGTCCTTTGAGTGATAATAAGGAACCACCCTTCAACAGTCATAGTACGCATTAGACAAACACATATTGTAACCACTGCACCTGGCTAGAATTTCCTGTAAGTACTTAATCACCGCATGTTCCTCAAGTTGGTTCATTTTACAAAATTCACAGATCCCTGCTTATTTAACTGACTTATCAAAGGGACCATTCTTAGCCAATATGCATGACCTCGAGGTCAAATCGAAAGCGAGGCTAACGTAGGCAATCACACCCAGGAAATGGCGACCTCGAAAAGGAAAGATTACTGCTGTGTGCCTTTGTGTAGAAGCGATGACCGTAGTGATTTTACGGTGTCATTCCACCGCATTCCCAAGGATAAGACCGTAAGAACTAAGAAGGCAGTGGTTGGCGAAAATACGCGGAGATCCTTGAAAGTCATTCAGAGTGAGTACATACTAATTATGATATGTCACATAGACATCGCGAAACATACTTAATCTATTCAATATTCAAGATCAAAATGACATCAATCCACCCAAAGTCACCGATGAACAGGGATTACTCACATTTACTTCTGAAAATTATTTGTATCCCTTTCCCATCTGTGATTTTCCACTTTCTGAATATAGCCTTCAACGAACGAAAACTTGAAATCAGGAAGTACATTTAGATCTTTCGCATTCGCCGCCATTATGTTAATGTGGCTTTGCCTACGTTAGCCTCGTTTTGGTTTAGATAAGAATATTCATGAAACCTCATGAGATCGTGTTTGTGGATGATATATCTATATAACATCATGTAATGTCTACAACAAAACATTTCACTATTACGCCTTTCCTTCCTTATCAGTCGGCCCTCGGACACTACCGATTTCCCAAGCTAAGATGTTATTCTCAACTTCGCAGCTAAAACAGATACTATCGAGTGAAACAAGAATGTTATTTTATATTTTTGGTGAATAACAAATGCCTATTACTCTGTTTACAATCACATGGAACAATCTGATGACGTCACTGAACAAACTGGCGTTGCCATTATTATTAGTCGGGTTGGATTTCATCGTTGTCCGGTGGTTTCAACGAGTGAGTTAGTGAGTGAGTGATACGAACCAACGATCATAGGTCCCTGGCGCCCTAAGGGAGTTTCAACAGGGTAGATTCAGTTAATACTGGTACATAAGAAGTTTACCTTATCGTATTTCTGTCTGAAAACTTAAAATCGATATGTCACTCGGGTAAAATAACACGTGTTGCCAGAAAGTATTTCACTCTGCCTGATCGGCACTATATATTTTCTCAAGTAAGATTACTGAGAAAATACATTATACAAAGACCATTTTTGGCTTTCCTTGTAAAATAACATGTTAGTTTCATCTCGAACGTGTTTAAATTTTCCTTCGTGGCTGTGCCACTCTTGAACACAGCAATTTTGTCAGATCACTTGATGAGAAAAACGTGATATCTTGTGAACAAGATTTGGTTCCAGGCGTATATACGTTCCGGGGGAACTTTTGCTATCAACATTTGTTCCCTTGGAGGTTCATATCGCGTCAAGTCTTGGTTCCTATCACACTGAAATTTGTTGCGGTCATACTAGAACTTTCACACACATATGTTCTACCTTGTGAAACTGTCAAGTGTCTAAAAGTGGGATTTTTGTGATGGGTCTGTATTAATAAATGGAGCTTGGTTATTTTGTTTCTTGTTTTATTTGTTTTGATTGTTGTTTGTTGTTTTTTTCTTTCTTTCTTTTTGGTGTGTGAGGGTGTGGGTGTGGGTGTGTGAGTGGGAATATCTGTGTGAAAATTCCTGTTTGACATTTCCGTGAACAGTTTGTAAAACATTTAATTCATGAAAACACTTTATATATCTGTTACCATGGTAAATAGAATCTGTTAAGTCTTCAGGATACTTCATCCCGACAGCCGCAGTATTCACTGCCAACTGCCTTATTGTTTAATGTATTTGACATAAACACAGTAATTTCATGGAATTATCGTGCAGCAGTACATTCGATTTTGGTTGCGTTTTGGGATCTGCATTCTTTCCGTTTCTGTCATACTTACGTATTTCACATTTGCCTTTTTCATTAATAAACTATTAATTGGGATTTGTTTCATGCTTTCCCATTTCATCATATTCATATTTTGTTTTAGATTCTTTTAGATTATATTGCCACAGTGTCCTAGATGCTCTGTTTTTCATGTTGCTCATTAACAATATACAGGAACATCTCTCATAAACACACCCAAATGTTTGTTCCTATCAACCGGGACTTTTCACGGGTTATAGCGAAAACGGCACCTCAGCAAAACGTCACCGGGCGAAAACGGCACCGATTGGCGAAACCGGCACCTCGACTCGAGCGAAAACGGCACCTCGACTCGAGCGAAAACGGCACCTTATTTTTTTGTTTTACCTTGGTCAAATAAATGACTACAGGGTCGGATCATTTTCAAAGCAATTTTGTGTATTTCATCCTGATATCTTTTTCCGTGTCGGAACTAAGTTTGGGCGGAACATAAAAGTACTTACAATATGAAAAACACACCATATATATTCTACAGGAACCGCGTCATTGAAAAGGCGAATCTTAAATATACTGGGTATTTCTTTTAGAAATATGACTGAAATTCTGAACGCAATAACGACTGCATTTTCACCGGGAACCTAGTTAAAATGACACCGGATTTCGGTGGGCGGGGTATAAAATCTCGTGACCTCTCGTCGGTCAGTATAGCAATATGGCGTTTGCAGACGACGCATGGAGATATGTGCACGGCCTGGCAGGCGGTGAAGTGCAATTGATATACTATGTGTCATATATGTTTCTCGCGTGGGGAGCACTTGTTGCAGTGTCATTACAGGTCGTCAGTGCTCCGTATGGCCGGTATGCCCGAAAAGGTTGGGGCGTCGGCGTGACTGCGAATGTGGCCTGGGCGATCCAAGAACTGCCTTCGTTTGCTGTGCCGTTACTGCTGCTGGCATTATCAGACTCTCCAAAGATTCATGATCTACCAAATAAAATAATCCTCGGCTTGTTTCTCCTCCATTATTTTCAAAGGTACGTTATACGGGTAGACAATCCAAATGACAGACTAATGTACTTCATATCACATGTAAATGTATACTACATGCTATATCACATTTTCAAATATAGTGTTTCAACTTATTCAAGTACAATGTTTCAATATTGTAATCTCCTGTCTTCCCTGTTTTAATGTTAATGTATTCATAACTAATACATTGTAAATATTCAATTTATCTATTATTGTCACTTAATGTAACAAACAACTGAGGTTTTTTTACAAGTATTACACAATTCATTACAGCTGTGGTATAAATTTATTAATGTCCTATGACTGGATTTTTTAGTTGGACATGCCATGTTAAATAGCAGGCATCAATACAGATTAATTGTAGCAAGCACAATTGTCAGCTCAGCTGGTGATGAACTGGTGGAGTTAAAATAGTCCAATCAATGATGCAGTGTTTGTTGTCTGTACTGTCCATCCATCTGCAAGTCTGAGGTCACAAGGTTCAGCGCAAACATTGCTGGGCAAGTAGAAACAGAGGACAAGTAAGGATTAAGTTAGCATTGTAGTTTCTCCAAAATTTAGTAACCTATACATGCACTACTTACATTGAAAGAATTGTGGATAAGTGGGATTCAGCACCTGGTGTCTACCTTTTGTCTCATCTTGATCTAGATGACTTGAGTGTCACACCCTCAATCCAGCCCTAGTTACTTCTTTAATGATTAAATAGTGGACACGTCATTACAACTCTTATGATAGTATGATAATCCAACTGTCTATTTAGACCTCATGTAAAACATACAAGTAATGGTCCATTCAGGGAAGTTATTGCAGATTGTGTGCTCACATTTACTGAATCAAGTCTTGAGCAGTGCTCTAGTCAGCATGGGTGATATGATCACTTGTTCATCAGTGTCGTGTATGACCTGTCATCAGCTGCTTAGAGTAGCTGCCCTTCATCATACCACTATGAGCCCACACCACTCAGGTGATGATAGACACTGATAACAGCCCTCAATATTACTCCATAACAAAACTAACTTGTTCACATTCACACTTCTAGATTTCAGCACATCTGCATCTGGGGGAGGGCTTATTACCAAAACATCAGTTTCCTCTTCATTACTCTTTTTACCTTTGAACATGTCAAGGTCTCACATACTGAATTAGTGGAATCTTGGTGAGATGAGGGCAAATAATGTACTTTGGTCATTTGTTTCCTGATAATGAATGCTATGTTATCATTTGGCATTTTTACTTTGACAGTGCTGAATATTTTCTTTTTTTCTGAATTCATTCTTTTTTTATTCATATTCTCGGAGACTGAAATTGATATCTCTAGTTCAACTGGTGCGTACTGGTTTAGTCAGTTGTTTCTTTAGATTTGTTGTAAGGGGAGATAACTGGAATCTGTGTTTGTTCAAGTTCCTGAAATCAAGTTGAAAATCTCATTGAAATCAGATTTTAGTGCTCGCTACCACTACAAAAGGTCTGAAGATGTCCCATTACAGGTTACATCAGATCCATGTTTCACCAACTTTGACTGACCAATGAAACTACTAAAAAGAAATCTACTTTAATAAATCAGAAAGAAGCTTTCTTGAGTTTTACGGCACTAGTTTCAAAGTGCAAAGTATCAATGAAACAAATATTACAATTGAACAAAAGACATTTGTGGAATGTCTAATAGATGGTCACAGGCTATGGAGAGTCTCGTTTCAAATATTTATCCCATTGAAGTGAGAGATAGATGCTGATTTTGACAGTCAGTCGTACAGTCCATGTTAACCTTTTCGAGGTTGCATGATTAGAAAGCACATTCCGACTGTCACTCAATTGATCTGGTAAGTGATGCTCTGATTGGTTGAATGAAAGGTCATTCTGACATTCTGTTCGATGCTTACTTGATAGAATTGTAACAGACCCAAACATAGGTAATATATAACTACCGATCACAATAGAGGATACCTTTGATTAACTTTGATTAACTATATGGATGCCACTGGCACTGGCAGGTGAGCTATAGTGCTCCAGCACAGAAAGACCTATGTGAGACTGATAAGCCATCATTTGTTTGAAAAATGCACAAGGGCACACACCTTTATTTTGCACTTTGCAGAAATTTGTCCGACCACTCTCTGGTGGATTAGAAATAATAATAGTAATAATAATAAAATTTAAACATAGAAATATTTACTGATTTAAATAATGATTAGATGTATTGTATATAGTCTAAGGGCCACTTCTTATGAAGAGACAAAGCTTTCACTTACTGAAATATAAGTATACATGAAGTTTACTTATCCTCGTTAAACTAACAGAACTTTAATGCCAAATAGAATAAAAACAATATTCAGCGAAACAAATGTTGTAATTTTATTAACAGTAACAGAATCCAAAGTATGTGTAAAATATACAGGGCCTGGCCTAAAGAGATCTCAACTGCTGCATCACAGGAAGTCATGTTTGTGACCATTGTAGGTCATTATAGCTCGAATGGATAGAATTAGGAGATAAACATACTGTGTATTCAATGTAGAGCTAGGTTACCTGTAGATTTAACCGCACTAAATTGAATTTGGAACCGAACGCGCAGCGTGAGGTTTCAAATGTTAAATTTAGCGCAGTTAACATGGTTAAATCTACAGGTAACCTAGCTCTACATTGAAAACACAGTATGTTTATTTCCATTCTACCATGACTAAATAAAACGCGAACTCTTTGGTGTTAGCAAATATACTGAGTGAAGTGGCATGGGTTGAGTCCAGTGTTTTGAGTGGGTTACCGATCTGAATTACGGAATCACCGAACAAAATATGGCGCTGTATATACTCAAGTAGTTTGTTTACACCGTAATACTTCACTCGAACAGGCATTGAAAGCATATAAGCACGACAACTTGGTAAGCTAACATGAGGTGGGCATCCCTAAAGAAAACAAAGCAAGCTTTGCAATGCTTTCGCTCTACATCGCACGTCACCATTATGACGTCATATTTCCCATTGTGCCACAAAAGATATGACGTCACAGTCGTATATAGAAAAGCGCCAAAATTCCAAGCTCTCTGTTGTCTCCAAAACGTAAACACATTCCCTTTCCAGATTTCTATCGTGTTTTCTGCACAAAATGTATTGCCACACATCCTTTGAATATTGTAGAATCCGCATCTGTGCATTTTGTAACCTGTAATTGTAGATATAATTATTTAAATATGCCTACCAACAATGCCTGAAAAAAGGTGCTATTCTATGATTATTAGCTTCCGCGGTGATACGGCCGTCAAACCAGCTGTATCAATCAGAGGGGGTTTACTGTGATTTAATAGCCTCTGATTGACCAATCAGAATCGAGTAAATTCCAATTTCATGGTAGAATTATCATTAAACCGCCTGCATGTTTTCAGAAATGAGCAGGCCACTGTAACTTTATAATGCCTTCATATTGCTTGACCACGGGCCATTATCACACCCATTGTTAGGTGACGTCATAGGGATACGGAAAGGTGATGTCACATTCAATAGTGACATCATTTGGTTTGTTCTATGACGTTTCCATATTTTAAAAGTGGGTCAGTAAAATCCGTGTTGATTGCAGTAAATGTTTCAAAACCGATGTTGGGTTCTGTTTGATAACACATTCTATCCATTTTAGCTATCATAACAGTAATGCTATTTTTCAGGGCATTGTCATTTGCAGATGCCCTCTGTCTTTTCAACTGCCCTCCTTTGTCAGGCAGTTAATGGGAGACCTCAGGCTTCTGCAAATAATAATGCTCTGAAAAAAAGTGTTATCCTTATATTAGACCACACCATATTATGTTCACAGTGTATGGTGCACAATGCATATCACACTACATTGGAAACTGCATATTCATCATTTTAGGGAACATAAAAGTGAAACATGAAATTATTTTCCCACTTGATAATCTCTATACACCCAATGCCAAGTCCAAGAAAACACATCATCAAACAGAATATTGCCAAAGTACCACTTGGAAGATCATCTGATGGTAATTTTAGAAAATGAACAAGTTTTAATTTTGCAAACATTGTATTTATACAATTATAAAGAATTGTGCAGGTTGTAGGAGTATAAATTATTTCAGTCTTAGACTGCAGATACTGAGAAAGTATGTTAACATTTGGAAGGTCTTGATATGCTTATAGGCTTAAACAGTATGTTTGCACATCAGGCATGTTTCTTGCCATGTATGTTGCCCTCAAGTGTACAAGTTCAGTAGGAGCCAGGTACACAGCTTGGTATTGTGAACTACCATGTTCAGTATAAAGAGGACACATGTTCCATGAAGAAGGTAGCGGCTCATCTGACCTAACATTGACAGACATGGAGAAACTATTGAAGTTATTGATGCTTCATCTTTTGCAGAACCTTCATTTTCTCACCACTGATAAAAGGAGGCAAGGCTACACCTCTTGTGCCATTCCTGATGGCATTTGTGTTCTGTACAATGAATGGGTACTTACAGGGCCGTTACCTGCTCAGGTATGCTGACTTCAGTGCTGACTGGGAGAGGAAACCCACTTTCCTTCTTGGTAAGTGATCTTATTTGTCAGGCTTGTTCCTACTCATCTTCCTGAGGCAGGGGAGTTTACTGACTGTAAAAGATGAACAAAGATGGAATTTCTGGGCTCAATCGTAGTGCCACCAGAGTTAGGTTCCTTCAATGTCCCTAATATTGACCCATCAGATTCCCATCTCATACCAGCTGTTTCAAACAAAATGACAGCCTCCAGTCTGATCGATAGTCAAGATCTATATTGTAGTAATATAGGTCTTACCTCACCAAGTGCATCAAATCCCGTGAGTATCTTGATCAAAAACATGTAAATATTTGGAAAATAGTTTCTGACGCCCACTTGGCGGTACATATGTTCTGCAAATCTTGCAATCGACAGGAATCTGCAAACCGGATGTCAATTTTGGAACACAATTTTGATTGGACTATGCATAGACTCGTTGGTCCAGACAAAATACAACTACTGAAGCCTAGTTGGGCAAGGTTGGAAACTAGACTTTTATGGTCAATTAACTGCCTTGCCTCGGTAAGACGGTCCCTATTTAGATCAGTCACTGAATCAGTTTGTCTGGGTGAATCAAGAACAGGTATCACTTAAAATAAATTCACTAGAATACTTCAACGTGGGGAATACTGTGTGCACACATTTTTAGTTGGATCCACCCAAGCCAACTGGTTACCAAACATCCTCTCTAACATGTCTAAGAAGCTTGATGTCATATGTTTCTCAAATCCTGGCCAGAGCTTGTTATTTTACATTCATCTTCAAGTGCAGAGTTTTTAAATTCAGCTGATTTTACACTGACCTAAAGTATTACAGGACAGACAGAAGTCTTGATTGTGTGGGGAGTTGTTGCATTAAGTGTTTAAGAGGTCGCCTTCTGCCTAGGCAATTTCGACTGGCCTGTCCCTCTTTGGGACTCCTGTGTGTGAGAAGGGTACACATATCTATTGTGAGTTTGGTGTTCACATAATTTCTGTTTTTGTATTGATATCATTTCTATTTTCTTATATTGATATGATTTCATTTTTATCCTTGGCTGCTCTGTTTATATACGTTCGAGTAGCTGTCCATCTCTCAGAAATAGAGTTAGTTTGGCCTTCGCTATTGCATCTCTTGGCTTTAGGAGATCTATGACAGATAGCAGATCTAACTGCAATTCTTGTTTTAACCTAGCCCGGGCTGGGGCATGGTCTTGACATTCTAGTAACACGTGATCAATGGTGTGTGGGGAACTGATATTAGGGTTTTTATTCTTTCGCAATGTGTTTCTACAAAGAGACCTTACGGAGAACATCACTAAGATGTGTGAAGCTATATTGTTATACACCTCACTGTTGCAGTTGAAGCTGTATATCTATATAATTATGCAAAACTATGTAAAGTGCACCGAAAGTCCTGCATAAGGCCCATCTGTTCTTATTTCAGAATAAGTGTGTATGTTTACAAACAAGAGAATAGTCCAGTCAGGTGATAAGCCTACAACTGCAGTGTGGTCACTGGAGCCGAACACTTTGTCTCAGAATAAGGCAGGCTGAGCCGAGTAAGCTCAAGGGTTGCCGGCTATTGTTTACAAACAAAGCCTCAGAACAGTCAACGTCCTGTTTCTTTGATGCACAAATCTGTGGCCATTTGAAGTAATATTAATCCATCCAGCACCAAGCTTCTCCAGTAACTATAAAATGAAGGTTAAGTTTCACATATTCAAACATGTTTGCAAGCACCAAAGTTTGTGTCTGTTTAGCGAGCCAGGCACAGGTGGCCCAGTCATCTAAGGCACCAGAATGTGCTGTGCAGGCTTCTTGTCCCTTAGGCATGCCAGGCCCTGTTATCATGTGTAGGAATCCCAGACTCACCCCGATTAGGATCATTGGCTTGTCAGCACCATACCCGTTTTCGTGGGTTTCACCATAGTGCTAAACATCTAAGACCTGTATCACTTGGGTCTTTCCTCCTCTGTGAAGATGGCATGCTGTGATATGACTGAAATACTGTTAAAAGTAGGGTTAGACGCAACTCACTAAGTCACTATGTGAAATTTTGAAAACCCTATAGAATTATAGCTATTCTTACAATTACCAGTAACAGTGACAATTTATTTCAGGCATTGCCATGTTTTTCTCAGGGATGTTTATCAATATCCAGTCTGACTCAATATTGAGGAACCTCCGTGATCCTGGAGAAACATGCTACAAGATACCTAGAGGTACACATTTATCCTTGGGTCTAGGTGCATCATGTGCATTCAAGTCCTTCAACAATATCATATCAACATCAGCTGCTGCTCATTAAATGCAAAACTGAAAGCAACGGTTTGACTTCCATGCTGTTTTTGTTTTCTAAAACATTGTAAAACCATGTGTAAAATGTTGTCCTTTATCTGTTGTGTGCATAACATGTAACTTCTGTAATTCCTCTGTGTGTGTGTGTGTGTTTTCTGGTGCCAGCTATCAAGTGTAATTCCTTCTGCAGGGGGGATGTTTGAGTATGTTTCTGGAGCCAACTTCCTGGGTGAGATTCTGGAATGGTGGGGCTTTGCTGTGGCCAGTTGTACCCTGCCAGCGTTGGGGTTTGCCGTGTTCACCACATGTAACATCGGCCCACGTGCCTGCCAACACCATCAGTGAGTGTCCTATTCTCATCCCTCTGTAATCAGACTGCAGGCAGTTCATGGGCTGTAATTTATATAATCCCTTCAAATACCCTTCCTCTATTACATCACAGACACAAATTCCATATTTTGGCTGACCTCACACCATAAAAACCTAAGATTTTTCAACATATGTCCCCTTCACTGCCAGCCATGTATAAACAGTTGCCTAGAAAGTTGTATGTTAAAAGGCGCTAGTAGAAGTAAAAGGTCATTCGTGGTTCCACAGAGTACCCAGGCTTGCAGGCTGAGTGTACTCACCATGAAGTTGCTGAAGCTGTCTGGGTCTATCACTTTTGTCCTGTGAAGGAATTCTTTGAGAAACCAACTATGAAGATAAGTTCGCCTTATCTGCAACCATGAGTGCTATGATTCGTTAAGAGCTCATGTCTGTTAAACAAGACATCTCTCATTTACAAGGTGTGTACCATTACTGAGATACAAACATATCAGGCTGACTCCTGTGCCCTTTACTCGGGACAGGGATGTTAATTTTTCTAGCATCTCTCCTGACCATGTTCTAAAATCTCTCCCAACCATCATGCTCCTCATGCAGGGGGCGTACTGTTTGGGCGTAACCTGAGAGAATCTGCTACATCTCGTGCTGCTATTGGAGTCAGTAAGAGATTATGCAGGTCTTGTATAAGTTTATGCCGTCTCTGCCTCTGAAGCATGACAAGGAACTGAGCCGACTCGCCTTTAGGTTGAACGACAGCGATAACCCTATGCTGTCGTTCACTTCATTGTCAAGGTGAAGGATGATCATTTGAACAGGCACATCATGCAGTTAGGTTTGTACCCAAGGAACCACCCAAGAGAAGGAATATTCATTTCAAGCACAAGCTTGGAAAGAAAAATACAACAAACAGTTCCCAAGTGAGATGATACTTTCTTTCAAAGTGATGTAACTGAGTGCTTTCAATAATCCCAAGTTACACAGAATCCTATCGACCTGGCATTGCTTACGGACCTTGATTCAGACTACTGCACTTCAACACAATGGCAACTCCAGGAGGACGTTACACTGACGACTGGAAATCAGTGACGTCAAACCACTTGTTACTCAAAGTTATAAAGATCAGATACAACATGCATTTCTTCCAACGCCCAGCACTTGTATCCTGGCCTGAAAGTGCTTAAAACTATTTAGTATGTTCACCAAAGTTTCAAGTAAACTCTTGTCAAGGTTAGGAGACTGGGCCATGAGCATGGATTTACAAAACCGACTATATCCATATCCCGAAACATCCAAGCTACCGTCATTACCAGAGCTTCGCAGTCAACAGGCAGAGGTACGAGTTCCTGGTCCTTCCATTCAGACATCTCCATAGCATCTACCCTGGAGATCATGACAATGATGTATGGTTTGCCAGGGGATTCTCCCATCACTTCAAGGCCTTACTTACAGAGGAACTGGATGAATACCTCACAATCTAGATCTGGATGAACTGATTACACATCCAGCACCCAGACAACTGAATCTGAAATGATGGCTCATCCATCCCAACATCACTCCAGGCATTTCCCTCATGTTTCCTCCCCCAGTACATCACCTGTACATGGATGCCTCGAGCACAGGGTGGGGAGCTCACATGGCAAGCTCTACAGTCCAGGGGATATGGTCAGAAGGGGACAAGGCACTTCATATCTACTACCAGGAAGTATAGGACATTTGTCTTGCTCTGAAGACTTAGAGCCCTTGGCTTCATCACTTCTCAGTACTACTGGCGACTGACAATACTTCTGTGGGAGCCTACATCCAGACTCAGGTGGGGAATTCCTAGGGAAAAACCTCTTAAGACAGAACTTTGAGATCAATTGCACGAAGCACAATTAGACATATACTCCATGGAAACCACCATTACGTCCACCTATTCGCATGGATGTTATGGTGTCCAAAATGCAGGCTGCAGGATTCTCAGAATTTGCCTCTGCAGCAGTGTCACGATCTTGGAGGCCTTCATCATCTGACATATGAATGACACAAGATGAAAAAAGTGGAGAAGAGCAGGTGGATTGGAAGATGTGGAGATAAGCATTGCCATGGTTGCCAGATTCTTTCTACATTTGAGACAAGACAAGGAATTCAGGCATTGCACTATTGAGGGGAAGAGTCCAGGGATCAGCAACCTTATGTGGTAATTAGCTTCTTATACCCTGACCTAAAAGGGGTATGTTGTTATATTAAGTCTGTCCATCCTTCTAAGGACATTTTTGTGCGACCTGTAACCTGAAAACTACTGCATAGATTCTTTTCAGACACTTTAACACTTTCTATACCAATAGGAGAGGTGCAGTGCGAAGTTTGTTTTCAATATATGTATTTTCAACAACAAAAAATTATTTTCATGTTTTGAACTTTTTTCTTACTTCAATCTTTGTTTGACCTCTGACTTGAAAACAGCTTAATAGAAATCTTTTCCAATTGTGAGTGGAGTTTCTATACTAACAAGGTGAGGTTTCCTTGCCTTGTGCAAGTGCAGTTGCTCCATTTAAGATACTACTTTCTAGCCAACTAATTATAGATGTCTGGCAGTGAAGGGAATGTCTGTTGAAAACTCTGAAGATTGTATGGTGTGAGGTCAGCCAAAATACAGGATTTGTGCTATTATGTAACAGAGTGATAACTACTGTTTGATATTATATGTAATTATGTCGTATCCTAATACGGAAATGAGCATAATTTGATTTATTGTGTATCACACTGTGTTTCATTGAGAACTTGAGTCTAACTGGTCACAATGTTATGTATGATGTGTCCTTGTTTCAGGTGGTACAGACAGAAGTTTGAAGATTATCCCAAGGGTAGAAGAGCTGTTCTGCCCTTTATTCTGTAACTACTATTCCTGAGTTCCTTATGTATGTGCCTACAAACATCTTGTATCTTTTCCAGCAGACTCGACTGCTCACTGGGCTGTTGTCTGTATTTGCTGTAACTAATATTGACATTTGTATTTCAATGATTACAATGTGAAGAAACTGGTCTGGCCTTTTGAAAAAAAGCAGTTATGATTTACTGATGCATTAAAGAATTAAGAATAGAATGTGTACGCTCTTTCAGTTGATTCCTGGAGAATCTCTGTTGGGTAGAAATCTCAGAGTGTTTGGCGCTTCTGTGGTTCACAGAATATGTCTCAGGGAAATTGGTCACTGTGTTTTCTACCATGAATTGGTCCATCAAAGCTGTTTCAAATCACAAGAACAACTTCTTATTGAAATAGTTGTTTTTGATTGCTGCATAACAACCACAGCAAATATTTATTTGCAAAGGACTTTTTCTCCATTATTGTTGATTGGCATCTTCAAATAATCAATGTAAAATGTTGCAAACTTCACATATGCAGTTACTCCAATGTTCAAAGTAAACAAAAATGTTTAAGAGACCAGTCATTTATTATAAGGTGGGGTGGGTCAGAGATAATCCGGAGGGAGGGGAGGGTCACTAAATAATATGACAGTCTCAATGGGAGGGTTATGAATAATGATAAACATATTTGGGGTGGGTCATGAACAAAATTACCAGTCCCTAACTTTTGAAACCTTCTGCTGCATCTTTGGTTCTATATTCAATTTAGTAAGGTTAACTCTGGGGATTAACTGTGGAGGTAGACCTAGCTCTCCAGTAAAAAGACAGTATGTTTACCTCCTACATGATCATCAATAAACCATGTGACTGCAATATATTCCAACTTGGCACATATAATGTCTGGAGTACTGTCACCACTGCTGTCTGCCATGTACATACCGTTCAACAAGGCTGGACACTGTGATTGACACTAGTCTCTCTGGACCTGCATAATACAGGAAAATGTGAACCAGGACATGTTGTTTGTTTCTGTGATTGGTGTAAATGTTTTGTGTTCTCTTGTTCCGTAGAAATATCCAGTTGACAAAATTTGATTATCTTTGAATAAAATATGGTCCTTTTTTGTGCTGTTTAAAGTGTTTGCAAGTACTGTCTTAGAAGGTCTCAGACCCTATGGGTTTTCCTGGCAGGAATTGGCCCTCAGCAACCTGTGCTTGTCACATGAAGCGATTTGTGTGGTCTGGCTCAGCAACCTGTGCTTGTCACATGAAGCGACTTGTGTGGTCTGGCTCAGCAACCTGTGCTTGTCACATGAAGCGACTTGTGTGGTCTGGATCAGCAACCTGTGCTTGTCACATGAAGCGACTTGTGTGGTCTGGCTCAGCAAACTGTGCTTGTCACATGAAGCGACTTGTGTGGTCTGGCTCAGCAACCTGTGCTTGTCACATGAAGCGACTCGTGTGGTCTGGCTCAGCAACCTGTGCTTGTCACATGAAGCGACTTGTGTGGTCTGGCTCAGCAACCTGTGCTTGTCACATGAAGCGACTTGTATGGTCTGGCTCAGTGACCTGTTACCCCCTGAAGATCAATTTTAGAATTGGTCTTCAGGAACCCATGTTTGTCATAAGATTTTGTTTGTTTGTTGTCTATCGCCGCACACAGCAATATTCCATCTATATGACGGCGGTCTGTAAATAATCGAATCTGGACCAGACAATCCAGTGATTGACATCATGAGCATTGATCCACGCAATTGGGATCGATAACATGCATCAACCAAGTCAGCATTAGTCGCCTTTTATGACAAGCATGGGTTGTCTACCCCGCATCTTCACGGTTCGTTTGTCATTATAGGCAGTTAACGAGATGGGTGGTCAGTGACAACAAACAGTGACCTAGTTGATATTGCGTCACTGTAGCCCACCCTCAGTGACTGTTGGTGTGTTCCACTTGATTATTGACAGGATGGCATATTGCTGAGGTGGCTGTTACTAATAACGCACGGGTTGAGTGAGTGAGTATGGTTTTACGCCGCTTTTAGCAATATTCCAGCAATATCACGGCAGGGTCACAAGAAATGGGCATCACACATTGTACCAATGTCAGGAATCAAACCCAGGTCTTCGGCGTGGCGAGCGAATGCTTACACCACTAGGCTACCCGACCGCCCCCGCACGGGTTGAACCAGAACACCAACAAGTAGATTATTGACAGGATGGCATATTGCTGAGTGGGGTGTTACTAATAACACACGGGTTGAATCCGAACACCAACAAGTAGATTATTGACAGGATGGTATATTGCTGAGTGGGGTGTTACTAATGACACACGGGTGGATCAGAACACCAACAAGTAGATTATTGACAGGCTGGCATATTGCTGAGTGGGGTGTTACTAATAACACACGGGTTGAATCAGAACACCAACAAGTAGATTATTGACAGAATGGCATATTGCTGAGTGGGGTGTTACTAATAACACACGGGTTGAATCAGAACACCAACAAGTAGATTATTGACAGGATGGCATATTGCTGAGTGGGGTGTTACTAATAACACACGGGTTGAATCAGAACACCATCAAGTAGATTATTGACAGGATGGCATATTGCTGAGTGGGGTGTTACTAATAACACACTGGTTGAATCAGAACACCAACAAGTAGATTATTGACAGGATGGCATATTGCTGAGTGGGGTGTTACTAATAACACACGGGTTGAATCAGAACACCAACAAGTAGATTATTGACAGGATGGCATATTGCTGAGTGGGGTGTTACTAACAACACACGGGTTGAATCAGAACACCAACAAGTAGATTATTGACAGGATGGCATATTGCTGAGTGGGGTGTTACTAATAACACACGGGTTGAATCAGAACACCAACAAGTAGATTATTGACAGGATGGCATATTGCTGAGTGGGGTGTTACTAATAACACACGGGTTGGATCAGAACACCAACAAGTAGATTATTGACAGGATGGCATATTGCTGAGTTGGATGTTACTAATAACACACGGGTTGAATCAGAACACCAACAAGTAGATTATTGACAGGCTGGCATATTGCTGAGTGGGGTGTTACTAATAACACACGGGTTGAATCAGAACACCAACAAGTAGAATATTGACAGGATGGCATATTGCTGAGTGGGGTGTTACTAATAACACATGGGTTGAATCAGAACGCCAACGAGTAGATTATTGACATGATGGCATATTGCTGAGTGGGGTGTTACTAATAACACACGGGTTGAATCAGAACACCAACAAGTAGATTATTGACAGGATGGCATATTGCTGAGTGTGGTGTTACTAATAACACACGGGTTGGATCAGAAGACCAACAAGTAGATTATTGACAGGGTGGCATATTGCTGAGTGGGGTGTTACTAATAACACACGGGTTGAATCAGAACACCAACAAGTAGAATATTGACAGGATGGCATATTGCTGAGTGGGGTGTTACTAATAACACACGGGTTGAATCAGAACACCAACAAGTAGATTATTGACAGGATGGCATATTGCTGAGTGTGGTGTTACTAATAACACACAGGTTGAATCAGAACACCAACACGTAGATTATTGACAGGATGGCATATTGCTGAGTGGGGTGTTACTAATAACACACGGGTTGAATCAGAACACCAACAAGTAGATTATTGACAGGATGGCATATTGCTGAGTGTGGTGTTACTAATAACACACGGGTTGGATCAGAACACCAACACGTAGATTATTGACAGGGTGGCATATTGCTGAGTGGGGTGTTACTAATACTTGCTGCGCAGCAAGTATTGTAATTGTAATTGTACTCTAGGCCACTTGGCCCAAAATACTGAATAAAGAATCTTGAATCTTGAATCTTGTGTTACTAATAACACACGGGTTGGATCAGAACACCAACACGTAGACCTAACTTAAGAATGACCATAACAGTAACCTTGAAGGTTGCTCAAAACCTAATCACTTCAATGCCCCATTCCAAAAATATGTCCCAAATACAGCAAATACTTCTTGAGTTCATTTTTTTAACGCCACACTGCTGAATATTGCAGTTATGTGATAACAGTATGTACATAATCAAGTCTACCAGATAATCCATTAATTGACATAATAAGCATCAATGTACACAATTGGGATATCATGATGGGCATCAACCAAGTCAGCGAGTCTGACCACTTGATCCCGTTAGTACGATAATCATTGGTTGCTGAAGGCCAATTCTAACTCGGATCTTCATGTAAGTTGGAAAGTTGATTATCTGCAAATGAAGAGTAACATAAGCCCATGACGTCATCATCAGTCTTCAGCAACCCATGCTTGCCATAAAAGGCAACTAACGTGGTCAGGCTCTGTGACTTGGTTGATGCATGTCATCGTATCCCAATTGCGTAGATCGGCTCTCATGATGTCAATCACTCGATTATCAACAGGCCGCCGTCATATAGCTGGAATGTTGCTGAGTGTAGCGTTAAACAACAAACAAACATTACGTCATGAACACCAAATCACAAAGTAAATAAGACCACTAATTGCAAATACATATTTAGGAGATGTCCAATCATTATTTCTTCCATTTGAAGCACGTTTCAACCTCTCAAGACTTTTCCGTCGAGCCAATGTCATTTTACACACATCTTTCAATCTTAAGGACAAGACATAAACGAGGTGACGACGTGATGGACTTACCGGTTTCTGTTTAGACTTGGGCAGGTTGTGTGAAGTTTTTAAACCAGAAGTGCTTACAACTTTCTTTAGGCTAAGGCATAAAACTTTATGTCTCATGCATGAGACATTGCTGGAAATGTGTTTCCACAAACCGAATGTGAAGTTATTACACCGGGAGTGTATGGGACTTTCCAGGCTGAAGTCCCTACTGCACTTATCATCAGTTTTCGCAAACTGTGTTACCATCAGATCATCAATACTTGTCAGTCCTTGCACTTTGTTTAACAGTCTATCAGGTAATGATTACCCTAGTTGCACAGAGAAAGTTAGTTGTGTGGTTGACTCCACTAGTCCATATGCACCGGAATGACCAGGGTAGCGTCATTGGGTTTTTTCTTCATTTTAGGGGGCTGAGATTTTTCTTCTTCTTAATAGAGAGCTGAAACTCTATTTTATGGCACATTTCAAATTCAACCTTTGGCAAGAATGTTAAAATTGTCGCACTGTTCGATTAAACATAATAACTGTACAGATGTAGGTGATTTTAAAACAGAACAACGAAAATAGAGCATTTAGTAAAAGATTATTTTATGAAAGACCTTTCGCAAGAACACAAGTCCGCCTTCATGTATTACACCCTATGGTGTTTTTTAATGGAATCGCCTCCCTTTCAGCCTCAAAAATGCTCTTATGGCATTTCAGCAAACCATTTCAGGCACAAAAAGAAATGTATTGATGTTACATATTAATCTATGTAGATGACATATTTTCTAAAACGTTTTCAAAACATTTGAATCACCTCAAGGCAGTATTCCAAAAGATCAAAGAAGCAGGACTCACTCTTAACCCAAGACAATGTAAATTTGCGTCGAACAAGTCACCTACTTCGGGCATTTCTTCAACAAAGATGGCATCCATGTCGACCCATGCCTCGTATTATCGCAAAATTGTAGGAAACACTTCTGGCATCTATCCCCTCCATACAACCTTCGGAAAAACAGGCAATTTGAAAACTGAAGTAAGCTCTCACAACAGCTCCCATCCTTGCACATCCCGACCAAAACAAACCCTTTATCCTCACAACTGAATCTGATGCTTCTCAAACTGCAATAGGGTACATTTTAGGTCAACTTGATTCTCGTGGTATAACATAATGATGTTGTTAGTTCATGTCTTTTGACAATACAAGTATCTTCTTTGACATTGGTCCTGTTTTGTTTTTAGGAACAAACAATCTTGGTTGTCAAAGTTTCTTTTGCTCGCTAGTTTAGGTTATTGTAATAAACTATTTTTATTTATATACATGTTTATGTTGTATTTGTTTTCCAAGTAAGGGTAAAAGATGAATTATGTTAATTTCACTTCACAGTCAACAACTGTTTCAGACCTATCACAGTGGGACAAGCGAGTCAATAACCTTGTCCAAGGATACAACACAGTGAC